TTTTGTGTGCTTATTATTTAGCCTGTTTTAATTTATAAAAGGATCCTGCACATCTACAGGCAAATATCTTTCTAACAGTAGGTAGATTTTCTCTGCGATGCACACGAGCTGAGGAATAACGTTTTCAAGAAGCATGCTTGCCTTAATTAATAATAGGATATTGCAAATTTACGCGTATGTTTTGAAATTTGTGTAGCAATTACTTTGGTTTACTTAAATCGATTACATAACTTATTAACCGATTTCGTACATTGTTATGATGTAAAGTGTTATTGAAATACCACAAAATAATGTGGAATAAAAAGTATATTTACAGAAAAAAACATTTAAAAATTCAACACACACGTTTTAAATAGGGTGTGGAAATCACTTAGGTATATTTAAAATCTATAAGCTATGCAAGTAATTAATTTCTTTCATTATGGCGGAAAGTGTAAATAAAATACTACTATAATTATTTATGGGCAAAATTAATTATTATATTAAACTAGTTAAGATATACAGACGTGTATTTAAATATGTTCTTTGGTAAAAACTACACAAATTAAACATTTTAATATAAATATTGTATAAAATGTACCCGCTTTTGATATTTATCATCCCTACGGACTAGGTAAAGGGAATTTTAAAGTTACTTCCTTACGATTTATACTCAGGACGTTTTGTTTTCATACTTTTTACTTCTTATTTAGTTGAAATTTAGTTGTTAATAATTGCTTTTCCTCTGGTCAAAACGAAGAAATCAAGCCAAGCGTACTTGTAAAAGTAGACAAATTTTTTTTAGTGATTTGTAAAAAAAATCATTTAAAAATTAAATTAAATTCACTACGTATCTTATTTGAAAAACCCTTGGTGACATTTTTAAAGTCAATAAGTTAATTAAAGTTAATCTGTTCATGTTGTAACCATAATAATGATAAAACAGTACATTGTTATATGTAAATACTTTAAACATCCATACTTAATAGCTTAATATAATATATATAAACTGCTTTTAGCTGTCCGTTTGCAAATGTTAAAATTCTTGTACATTTATTTTACCCAGTTCCATGGCCATATCCCGTTATTCTGAATGCACCTATTTATTTAACCTGAATGTTTCTAGCGACTATGTGGATAGTGGTATTTGAACATATGACAAACATTTTAACATGGGTTTCATAAAAAATCTGTATGAATATGGTTATTTGCTCGACATTCCAGGCAATACTATTCCTTGGATTTAAATAGCTAAATAGCTGCAGATTTATCTACAAGGCTTTAATGAAGTTAACTTTAATATTACATTAAAAAAAAAATATATAAAGAAAAAACCTGTGAGCTTATCTACAATTTTAAAAGAGTTTATTTAAAATAAAACCGTATCTTAAAAGAATATTACGAAGTAAAACTTTATAAATTCGTTTATAATTTTTTAGAGTAAATTCAACTGATTTATTACAGTAAATTTAAATATGATTAATTACGAATTCAATTAATTTCAATAACCTGTAACATAGTTTTAAGAGCTTTAGTTTATTATTAAACACAATTTCCACAACACAATTGAAGTTTTTTTTATAAATCAATTGATTTTGTACAAACTCGATGTGAAAGCCAAGAAACAAAATCTTGAGATATAAAATCTACCTTCATGTACACGCTTATAATGCGTTCGAATTCCTATAACCCTGCAAAGATCTCACTTTGAGAAGTGAGATAAGAAATAGATCTATCAGGATTATCGTCGATTGCAAGTGTTCCTCTTTTATCTTTTCCGCTACGAGAAACACTTAGGTTCACATATTTATTTAAAATTGTTAGCTTTATATATAAATTAACTTTTCCTCCCTCCCGCCTTCGTAATAACACAATTTCTTACTTATATTTTCAAAGTTTACTATAAATATCTTTAAAATAACACACAAATGAGATTGCGGAACGTTACAAGTTTAAATTCTATGATTGAAAGTCTTTTTACAAAATGCATGAGTTTAAATAATTCTTTGTACATGATACTTTCCAAAGGTTTACACAATTTTCAAAATATTAAGATACTATTCAACTACAATCAATTAGGACAAAAACATTATTAGTTACACTCAACGGTAACAAAATATCATTAAAACCAATTAATTACCTATTGTAACGAATAATTACAAACAATTGATTTTTATGTAGGTTTGAGATGTCTAGTGGTCCATTTACCGAAGTGAAGAACAACTTTCATCGATAACAGGTTCAATTTTCTACAATCGCAAGTTGTTTTTTAGTTACGTCGATCTATTTTGTTCAGATCATTTCTTAGTTTTTAACTTTAATTGACAACTAAATATCTCTTAGGCGATTGAAATTGTAAGAAATGATTTTTTAGCTTAAACATTTTTTTCACTAAGTAATTCACGGAAGAACACTTGATGTTAAACTAAAAATTTTCTGGTTGTAAATTATTGAATGTGAAGAAATGATACAGCAAGTGATTCTATTGTAAATTTGATTATAGTAAATTTGATTATAGTAAATTTGATTAAAGTAAATTTGATTATTGATAAATTATAATAGAAATTTGTATATCCCAGGCATATACGCTAGCTTAATAACTATTGAAGCAAAACGAGTCGAATTCCAGATCAAATTTTGGTGTTAAATATAAAATTGAAGTGAAAATTATGGTATAAACTACCCTAATTACAAAGCAAGTTTTATAAACAATGCAATGTATTTTAGACAAAGTAGTCAACATCTCTTAAAATTACTCCAACGATTCTTTACACATAAACAATTTAAAAAAGAGCCTAACGTGAATAAACATTGTTTTGTAAACACAATAAACATAATTTATTTATTTTCATTAAAATTATTGATATAACGTTAATAGTATCGAACTAAAATGAAGATACTAATGACTTAGGTAGTAAATTGATTAACAACTATTCACAAATAAAATATATATATGGAATGTATTTATAAATGTCATATTTCCTCTTGTATTTTATACACGAATTTAACATTTTAAGTGATATTTTTGCGTTATTATGTAAGATATTGCTGTTTGGATTGTTTATAGCACACATTCAAAATTCAAAATTAATAAATCGGTCAATTACAGATAAAAAATATAGTTATATATTTGCATTTTAGACTCAATATTTTAAAATATTCAATAATTTATTTAAAATACCTGAGTTCGCTGCACCTTATTTTAGTATTATTAACTATTTATCCCTACTGTCATCAAATCGAGTAGAATTTATAAAAATGTAATTACTTCATTAAGAATTATATTGTTAAAAGGGAGAATGGTATTTTTCTTCAATTTATTAAGGAAATGAAGGGTAAGTATTACCATTTAATTTCAGCTGTGTTTCTCAGTGATACCTTTAAACAAATTACAACACTGCCAGTATAATAATAGGGTATTGGTAATGGGAAAAGGTAATTGGATATTAATTATTAAGCCATTGTCTACATCTTATGAACGATTGAGTTCAATTCATATCCTTTTTATTGCAGTGACTGATACATACGAGCTTCAAATGTTAATGATGTTAATTAAAAAAACAAAACTACAAAAGTACTATTTTAATTTGATTTCATTTCATATTAAACTTTAATTTTAGTTTCTTACTTTTTAAACCATCGGTTTTTAGAATCAAAATTTTGTATAGGTTATAGACTGCGATATGAAAAAATAAGAAGACTGGAGATTTCCTTGACATTCGAGAGTTCTATCGAGATTTTGCCCGTTTGAAAACTTGATCCCTCCAAACCTTACACCCGTAATATGACATCATGAAGGAAGTTGATCGGAATAATAAATATTTTCTTTTATGTGGTGCAACCAACCGATGTAGAAATGTTTAAGATACTTCTTAAAACAAATTAAGTTATTGTATTTACCTATAATGATTAAATATTAAAGCTGTGCTCGTAACAATAAATTTTTAAATCGGCATTGAAGTTTTAATTTATTTGAAATGATCAAAACTAAGTTTACATGATGACTCAAAGTTGCGTCTATTGTAATTCATTTAAATGCCTGTTCACTATTGAAGAGTATATAAATATTTTTTTTTATTTAGTAGAGAGTTAATGTAGAAAAATTATGATTTTCAGGTATTTTTTTGGCTAAACATGAATTTACTTATTGAATTTACTACATGTAGGTTCGTAAAAAAAATACTTTTTTCAAATAAACATCAAAAAATTGTAAATAAAAAAACTTAAACGTATGTATGTAAATTTTAGTAGTATTATAGGTAAAACTAGTTTTTCTTGATGGTCGTAGTCAAATTATCTGGAAGTATCAAATTGGAAACTTCTTTGTTTACTAAAAATTATAAAACTTATTTCAATATACGTTTTCGTGAAGATAAATTTGAATTACCCTCTTAAAATTAAAAGAAGCTGACCCCTTATAGTAATTTCATCTGGTTTTTTATTTACAGGATTTGTTAAAAGTAGGACTTCTAAGCTATCATTCCAAATTATAAATATCGATTTATATTTTCGAAAAGTTTAAGTATAAATATATTAAAATTAAAATATAAAATTTGAAGGAAGACGTCCCTTATAAAGTTTTGTTTTCCAACACTAATAAACTTTACGACGAGTTAAAAATGTGTAGTTTTCAATGGAGGTCTTCGAAACTATTATTTAAAATTGTAAATAATAACTTACATTTTCGTAAAGTTTACAATATTATATTTCGATAAAAATATAAAAATTAAAGGAAGCTGTCTCTTTTATAGTTACGTTTCCCAACTGTAAACCTTATGACGAGTTAAAAATGCGTGGTGTTCAATGTAGTTCTTCTAAATTTTCGTTAAGTTTACAATATAAATATCCAAATCTAAAATTCTAAGAACTCCCTATAGCAGTTTGTATCCCAATTATAAACTTTATGACGAGTTAAGTACGTAGTCTTCAACGGTGGACACGGGTTCGAATCTCGACGAGCTTGACAAAATACCTCACATGTGCTATATGAACATGCTGCTGTGCAGTGCGTGTAAACTTACGTAGTGTGAGTGTTTTATCAACGTGGGGTCTCTGGGCAACACATCGGCGTCAACTGACTGCGGAGAGCGCGGCGGACGTATATACGCCACCCCCAGCGCCGCCCCCGCTGCCCCCGCCTGCCCCCGGTCATCCGTCTTGCTATTGTGATACCCAGATCGGGTACTAATTGAGGCGTAACCGGCGCGAGGTGATTTTGAAAAACAATAGATCCCTCGCGGGGTTAAAAATAACACTTAGCTAAGTTGGTAGCGGTGGAGTATGAACCCATGGGTCGTAGGTTCCGGGGTAACTAGCGAGAAGAGATTTGAATGAGAAAAAAATTGTGAAATCCTTATGGGGGGTCGTTTTAATAAGAAAAGGCGACCATTAAGTATGAATGGAGATGAGTGCAGGATGAATGGCGCGCGATTTTATACTCTTGTTAGTGACTAAGGTGCACAAGTTCCTTAGACACAGCTGTTAATTAATAGGTCATACAGCCAACTAAGGAACCCACAGTTTATAGTGGAATCCGAACCAGATTTTTCCACGCTATTTAACGAATCGGTGTAATTATTAGGATAGTACTGCGGGGAGTCCTAGTACTCACTAGTGCGGACGTTAATCCACACCAGGAAGTATCGCATCCACATTTCGTGACGTCCAAATAGCTGGATTACGGGACGTAAAATAGTATTGAACATCAAAACTTTGTCGGGGGGCCAAGCTGGTAACGATTTACTATGAATTCAGCGATGTTGTGGGTTTGCAGTCACTGCTTGGGTAAATAGTTTAAAATGATTTTACAATAATATATTCCTCAGGGAAAAAACTTAACATAATATTGAACATAATCAACATTTTTGATGGCTCAGTAAAAACTAGATAGTGGTGCATTGATGATTTGGTTCTGCAATCTGATCCTCCCACTATAGTCTATTTGAAGTTTGATGGAACCTGTCTTCTGAGCCTTCAACCACCTTGGACTGGCCAAAGCCTGATATCAATGGCCAGAGGGTCAGAAACAGGTTCTATAATACAGAATATAATATTTAATTCTTGTAGCAGTTCACCTCTATCTTTGCTTGATAAGTTCCACTTACATGAGCAAAACCCATAAGGGCGAGAAAATGCATGGTTAAAAAGAGTTAAAAAAAGTGTTGGATTTTTGTTTAATCCATGGGACTGTATCTTTCCTTCCATTTATTGATTTTAACTTTGGATTTTCGCGGCCTAGTAATTCTTGGACCGGGTGTATAAACGTACCAAGCAATGAATGATCTCTTTTGGAACAAGAATGAATACAATTTAGTTTTTCGTTTAATGCATTACATTTATCATTAATAATGATTAGCGTTTATCATTACTATTAATCAATAACAGTTTCCCTTGGTTGTTGGATTATTTTAACCTTACAATTTATGCGACCAAACATAACTCGCGTGTGTATTAACCGTGGAACGTATCAATTTTAGCACTGAGTTAATAATACAGTACAAGAGTGAACTGCCCTTAAAAATGTAAATGGTAGCACGGGCCTTATGAGCAACAAAACCCCGAGGAAAAGTTAAAGTCTTCAAATATAAGTAATCTTAAAGCGTATGTACTATTTTTTCTTTTTTTTTATTCCTTATACGATGGGTTTTCGTTGATGAAAAATAAAATGATTCGTCAGTACCGTTCTTAACTTTGGTAATCGGTTTCCTCATTCGTGGTTTAACAGTTTAATTAATTCTAACGACTTAGTTTTGGTCTTAATTTTCTATTGAAAAGAATTACCTTCAATATTCCATTAGACCCGAATATACTCTTCGCATCTGAGCAATTACCACACAATATCCTGCATATGCTGCCGAATATCTTTGGATACAGGATAATACAGGCTAATAAGTGAGTAATATCTTCGGATATGTGGTCCATTGTAATATCCGTGTCTTAGAACATGGATTGTTTGGATTACCCAAGTGACCTCTAAGCACCTAATATTCCTTGATTATCCAATGCAATTTGTTGATATTTATACAATTCAGAAATATTAAATCAAAATGTTAATCGAGGCTTTAGTGATGTCTAAAAAATATACGCCCCCCTTAACCGTTTTGGTTTTCTTATATTGGTTGTCCATTGATTGAGCTCTAAAATAGATCCCTTACTGAAAGGAGGTAAAATATGTTTGGTTTAAAATATTTAAAAGATTTGGGATAGGTATTTTAAATTATTGGATTTAATACGTACAATAATCATATTACCGGTTATTGTGGATGCATTAGGAGATGAATCCAGTAATTTATATAAGGTCCATGATATTTAACAAGATTTTGAAACTAAATAAGTACTTCTTATAAAAAACTATGGAACGTTAATGACGCCATCGATTAAATTTGATTGGTTTAATTCCCTACCTTTCCAGAAAAAATACAGGTGGTTAACTATTGAAAATTTATTCTATGCAAACCTGACAATTGACTAGTAAAATCAGTATGACTTAAATAAACTTAAATCTGCTAAACTAAAGCTTCCAAGCCAGATCGCACCTGATATGATACCTTACTTTAATTTAAAGATAACTAAAAGAGTGTGTCCTGCAATAGGGAAGAGGTTATTGTACCATACCTAAGCATATCCGATAATTTTCTGCAAGAATAGAAATCCTGAGCTTCAGATACAAGATTTAATTAAGATAATTACTTTTATTATATTTTCTTAATCGACACTTTTGATGACTTTTTCTGTCACTTTTTTAAATTTTTTAGTGTAAAACCCGTCTAGATCGAATACCGAGGGTTTGACCTTTGGCATCTACAGAAACATCATGGATTCGGACCACTTTTTCCTATTCAGTACCTAAAAAGCAACATGTTCTTGAGTTTTTTTTCTGTTTCAGAAATATTTTTGTGTAATATCAATTGTTTTATTTGAAACTCTTAAAGTATTAAATTGTTTACATTTTCGTGGTGAGTTTCGTATTGGTAAAAACGTATGTATAAAGTTTTTTATTTGTTTTTATTATGACAATATATATATGTTCAAGAACTTCAGAATCTGCAGCAGTCCTATAGACATTCTAAAGCTAAAGAGAGAGCTAAGAAACTATTTTTATCATTAGGACCAGCTTGCAGGCAACATATGAATGAAATAATTTTCCAAGTTGTTATTCGAATGCATACACGATCCATCAATTGTTGATCCATTTATAGTAGTTCAAAATATTCTTTTGCTGATTGTAACCTAAAAACTATTTTTAATCGTTAATAGATAGCAATTCATTGATTAATTATAACTCATAAATCTCAGCTTCAGACCAAATTCATTTTGATTTTTATCGTCCAAAATCTAACGAAATATCTCCAATTCTAAGAAAATCAAAATAAAAAAGATATCCCTTAAAAAAAATATACCCATAAAACAACTTGTCCTAGATCTAAAACACCAGTTATTTTTGTTTTAAAGAAAACCAAGTCTGTACAGTATGTAATTTACTTGTTTGTTGATGAAACCTAATATTAATATATAGATTCTTATGACCTAGTATTCCCCAAAATGTGACCAAGAAGGCCATAAACTAAAATAAATCGTAAAGCAATCACAATCAAGCAAATTTACAAATTTTTAAGTTTAAAAAATCATACAAGTTTAATTATAACTGTAGCGTAATCAAAAGGTTATTGTAGAAATAATAAAGTGGACTGTATATGGGTTATTAATTTAATTTTGACAACAGAAAATATTGGACTTTTGGTATAATTTTTAATTCTGAACTATAGTTATGTTACCACTTCATGACGTTAAGGTCTTGAAAGAAGATCTGGTCGAATGTTGGCTCTAGTTGAGAAGATAATATGTTTCATTAATGTCCAAATGTTCTCACAGTAGGTACACAGAATTTAGAGTGAAATTAAAAAGGGTTTATTTAATGAACACAAAAGGAAAAGGTAAATGAAATAAGTCAAAATAAAAGGAGAGAGAAATGAATTGTGTTACACAAAGAAACGATATTACAAGAGAGAAAAGTTGCACTTCTTGAACCAGAATGTTTTTCTTGGAATGTTTACATTTTTATTATTGTATTGTTGTTGACATGTGGGGATTATTTTAATATGCTCATATGGTCAGCTGGCCTTTACTGAACATACCGGCCTCCATAAAACGATAGTTTTATAACAATGAACACCAAATTGTGTAAAAAACGGAGCACTGAAGAATATTCTGAATATTATTTACAGCTATTTACAGGTCCTTCCAAGTTGTATGGCTTAGTTTTGAGGGAGAGGGAACACTTTAACAACTGGTCTAGTAAGGTAACCATGTTGAGTCTTCAGATCAACAATATGGTGCTTCTTTGGAGGTACTATTGGGTGTTTGACGTTGAATTTCAGCGATAGCTTCTTAAGCCGGCCTCCCACACAAATTATGCCGGAAGCATCCAGAAAAGGGTCTAAACGTTGAAGATTAGAGGTACTGGGTTTGTTTTTGCGAAGTAGAGTCAATTCATTCGTAAAACATGTAGCTTGTACACACTTGATGATGGTACGCTCTGAGTTCTTAAGTTCAGAGACGGTGAGATGCCCATGTCTTCGGTCAGAGCTACGTGCATTGTGGATAAACCGCAAGACATAGCTTGTTACTCTAAGTAGTTTGGACCACGATGAGTACTTGGAGAGAAGATCCCATTCTGGAGGTTGGGTTGAAACTAGGACATTTAGAGGAGTTGTTTTACATTCTTGAGTGTCTTGCAAGTTGATAGGAGCGAAGCGATTAGATAGCCAATGATCATCTGAAAGAATTAACCATGGAGGGCCATTCCACCATAGAGGATGATCAATGAGTTGAACGGGAAGCAAACCACGTGACGCACAATCAGCGGGGTTGTCCGTTGAGGGAACGTAGCGCCAGGAGTGAGAGGGGGTCAATTCTTGGACTTGAGCAACTCTGTTGGCAACATACGTTTTCAGCCGATATGATGGGGTGTGTAACCACGAGAGGGTTACTTTGGTTGTACTACTGGTTTCCTTCAGTACACCGTGATGAGGCAAATAGTAGTGTGGCTGCGAAAGATCGGAAGG